AGAGCGTCGATGGTATCTTGGCCACTTGGGCCCGAGCTCTCTTATGTCGGACGGGCAAGCCGTGACCGTTCAATCGCAGATCAGGGGGTAGGCGACCTGTAAGGCTGCCTGGCTATTGTGTGTACATGCGGGCTTTGTGCTATCTGCCCTTGTTGTTTCCGTGGCCGGCATTCAGGTGAAGAAGAAATGGGAGAACCTGTCCTCGAAGACAAAGCGGAAGGTGCGCGCTGGTCACATGACGCCAGAGCTGGGCTGGAGCGAGACCAACTCGTTGGTGATGCAGTTCCTCATTCAGCACTCGCTGCCCGTCCGTCTTCGCTACTCAAACGCGGCGGCCACCCTTCTCTCCAGCTGCCCTGGCGACAGTCTCATGGAGACCGAGGCGGTTGGGGGGCTCTGCGACTCTGCCGTGGCACCGCCGCAGCAAACAGCGCAGCCTCCGCAGCCTCAGCCGCCATCGCTGGGGCTGCCGCCACAGGCACCAGCACCGGTACCGTCGTTGTCACAGGCAGGACAACCGTCGCAGACTCATCTGCTTGACATGTTGCCCTGCCAGCCGGTCTGCAGTGCAGCCGTCTCCTCTGTCGGGTCTACGGTCTCGGGACTGTGCGGCCTCGGCTCGGCCGGACTCATGTCGCCCGTTTCCTCCGCCTCGTCCGGCTCAATGTTGTCCAATTCGTCCGTCTCGGGGATGCAGTTGAACAGCATGCACCAACATCTCCATCACCACCTCAAGCCTCTGGCCACCTCCCTGGGCTCCGGGGTCGTCTCGCAGGCCGGCTGCTACACCGTCAACCCGTCGCCCAACGCCAGTCTCATCCCCTACCCGATGATGTCTCGCACCAGTCTGCGTTCCACTCATCTTCAGCTGCAGCAACAGCAGCAGCAGCAGCAGCAACAACAACAACAACTCCAACAGCAGCAGCAACAACAACAGCACCAACAGCAGTTACTCACGTCGTCTGGCCAGACAGTATTTTCAGCCCGGCTGGGCTCCCTGCGCAACCACTTCTCGACGCCCGCCACTGCAGAGGCGGCGGCGGCGGCGGCGGCCGGAGTTTCCGCCCTTGAAGAAGAAGAAGAAGAAGAGGAGGAGGAGGAGGAGCAGGATGTGAAGGATGTGCAGATGCTGGACGCCTCCGGGGGCGACGAGGGCCTGGGGAATAGCAGCGCCGGCACTGGCGGAGCCTCGGACGGTGGGGAGACGGGCAACGGCGCCGGTGTGGCCGGCGGTTCCGGAGGGGCTTCCGATGAGGCGTTTGCTGACATCACCAAGCCAGACACGCTTTCCGAGTGAGTCCTTCATTCTGCCCTCTTTCCCACGCACACACATGCCGACACACACTCGGCCAGACATGCGTTTGTGGGAAGAGGATGATCCCTTGATCGATTGATACTGTTCCTTCGCCAAAGCGGGTGGTAGGTTTTCTGAAGCTGAACGAGGACTAACTTGGACTTGTGACTGCTGGGTTGTGCCAAGAAGACCGTCCTAACTCAAAAATGCTGA